AAATGTGGCTTCAGACTGGATGAAAGTGTGGTAAAGCTACTCTGTTCATGTGCAGTGTCCTACTGTGTGGTAAAAGCCAGAATGAAGACAGAGGTAATGTTAGCTAACCAGCTAGCTAATTGACAAGACTGTTGCATGTGAAGTAGATGGTATGGGCCAATGGACTTTCATTCTTATTAATCATACTGCAGGGGAGAACAGGGGAAGATGGACACACTTTTCATTTTGATTTAATAAATTAGCGCGTTGTTCTTCATTTTGCTCAACTTCGTACTTTTGTCAGCTTGTAACTAGCACTGGAGTAGACCCGGCTAAACGTCATCAGCAATTAACATTTAGTGGGCCTACATTTACTCTGCTCATGCATCCTTCCTACTTCTCCCAGCCCTAACCAGTTTGCATATCTGATTTAAATCAGCCAGTGTTGTTGCAGGAAGAATCAGTCATCAGAGAGGAGGCCTGTGATTCCATGTTTTGGAAACATTGTCCTGGATTGATCGCCGAACCACCATGACATAACAATGAGCACTCATGTAGATCATCACCTGTCTTTCTGTTTAAGCTAAGAGCAGTCAGTCTGTTGGGCCGAGTGCATTTCCTGACTAATATATTATGAATCACCTTTTTTCCATCCTAGTAATTTGTTTCCTGGTAGATTTGAAATGATGAGCGAGGCTCTGAAGTGGCACATTGAGAATGGTGGCTATAAAAAGCTGATTTCCCTTTGTGACATTCCCGTTTGATGACTGACTTGTTCTTTCTGCTCCTGAGTGGAGACCCAATTAGCGCTGAGCTGTAGGCCCAGGCCCACTTCTGTCCTGAGCATATTACTGATGTCTGAGATAACACTTGATAATTAAGAGGAAGACCCCAGGGTGCTTTTTCACAGGGAGATAGTGTTTGTGTGCCAGGGCGAGGCTATTAAAACCCTTCCCTGTGGTAAAGGGAGCTTCTGGATTTCTCCGGTAACATTATTACATTTTATGGATTTTAAACAGCGTGTATGGACTGAAACCTGCCAGCTACACAAACATGGACACTGTGACTACAAAGAGGAAGTAACATACAAAAGTGAATGTAATTGTTGCATCCACTGATTATTGATGGTTTTTTTACATGAATCTTGTCTTGCATATTGTAAAAAGTGGGTTTGTCAAAAGTCAAAGACACAGGATTGCCCATTTTTTGAGAGCTACTAAAATATTCAGACATAAAAAAAGGTCATGCCCTTTGTATTCTCATCAAACTGGTGCCTGTCCAATGGTTGGTGCTGATGCTTCCCTTGAATTAGTGTTGGTAGATGCACCTATTTTTAGATGTTATGCTAGGTCTGAAGGATATAGATTAAATCTTCAGGTACTGCCTATATGTAATTTGACACAACAGTAACATATACATATACATGTTGTGAACAGTAAGTAGTGCATTTTCTGGGAATTCGATGGTCAAACAAACCAAATTGCAATATCTGCAATTTGCAAATTTAGTGCACACACTTTAATTCTTTCATAGTATTAACAGTCAACACCTAAACTATATGTTTAAATAAGTAAATGTTTCAAAGCACAAAAAAAGCTTTTTGGTGAAAATGACCAGGAAAAATGTACATATTGATTACTCCAAATCAGCGGTGCACCATTTATTGATTCAACAAACGCAAACTCAAACGCATCATGCTACAGCTTTTTTTGCTGCTTGATACAAAGGAAAACTTGCAAGGTTCTCCTTTTCCAAAAGTCTGTCTGATGCAACATAATATAAATAGCAGTTTGACCTCACATTGACCAACCCCTTCCAACACATTGCATGATGTCAACAGCATGATTGTGTATTAAATAGGCTCTCTATACCAAGTGAAGAGATTAGTGTTGGATCACCTACTAAACTGCTTTAATGTTGATCATCCAGAACAGGTGATCTTCTGAGACAAGGTTTTCCCCCTGACTTATTTCTTCCATTTGCATCAGAATTCAGCCCGCTAAAAGGGCTGTCCATACTTTTAAATAACTTTAATATGGCTGTTCTGGAGGGTTAGTCAGCTCAATACTTAGTCCTGAATACTAAACTGCTCCCACAAATTCCTTTCAATTCTCAATCGTCAGTAGAACTGTAGCATTAAAAGTGTAGCTAT